CACTCTGGGAAGACAGTATTAGACCTGAGGATACCTAGAAAGTGTCTAGAAGTAAAAAAAAAAAAAATGCTTGGTGTTGGGGAAAGAAGCCATATATCTAGTGTCAATAGAGGTGTAGCAGGAATAACGGAGAAACACAGGAGAGTGTTTTTCCACAGCAGCTAATTTATCTGTTCAGATTTTCTTTCTCTACTGTAGTCAGTATTGGTAAATTATATTTTCCTACAAAGTTATCTTTCACATCAGTTTTCAATACATGCATATAAAATTAAATAAAATAGTCTCTTAATAGTCTTTCCTTTGTACATGTGGTTCTCTCCTGCTTTTTAATTTCTTCTTTGGCGTATTTACATTTTCTTTTTTTTTTTTTTTTTTTTAAATATTAAATTTTATTTTTATATTCCCCCATACAATTGCAAACGCCCCATTCTGACCCCAATCCTTCCCCTCCCGCCCCCACCCCCAAAAAGTGTCTCTGGTTCATAGTTTTTTGTTGATTTTGATTTTCACTTTCTTATATTCATTTTCCTGGTCCCTTATTTAAGTTTTCTAGATTCCTGCTATGAGTGAGACCATCCGGTATTTTTCTTTTTCCGTATTTACATTTTCAAAGGAGAGTTTTTGAGACATTGGAGACACTAGACCGACAATGCTTGTGTGCTGGTGGAAACGATTCAAGGGGTTTTCCTTTGCAGACAAAACACTTTCGAGGAGACAATTTGTTTCCCCAAAGCAGTGTTTGGTCTTTTGAAAAGGGAACTAAACAATTAGAGAGAAGACAAGTGGCCAGGATCCAGGAAAAAGTAGGAATGAGGGAATTTCCACAGACCAACAATGGTATCAAAACTACTAGAACTTCACACAACGGGGAAGCTACATTTTTGTCTGTGATTTTGCAGCTGCATGCTGCCTCCTCTCCACCCTATCTTCTCTCTCTCCATGTTACATTTAAATATACGTATTAAGCATATATTTCTCACAGACTTCAGAAAAGATTCCTTACTATGAACAGGAAGATGGAGTCACGATTTATAAGAAAACACAGAAAAACATTGGAGAGAAGTCAGTGCCACAATTCTTACAAGATCCAGAGTCCTGGCTCCAGTTCCTACTGTGCTTCTGGAACCCATAACAGGATCAGAACTAAATCCAGTAAGGACTGCAGAAGAGCATGTGGCCACCACCGCTTCTTTATCTGTCCTCTAAACCAGCACATCTTGGCCCCAGCCTTGAGGCTGCATGCAAACACTGTCCATACATTTTTTTCCCTCGCAAACTTTTAAGGATCTAAAATTAAATACAAAGATATGATTTCATATCCTTTAAATGTTTTAAAAATAAAAAATGTTTTAATAAAAGAAGAAGAGCTCACTAGTCCAACTTCAAACCTTAATGAGTGTATCATGAACCTAGCGATGCTGCATCTGCATAAACCCAGGATGTGTTCAGAGGAAAGGTTTTTTTTTTAAGATTTATTTATTTTTATTATTTATACAATAGCTGGGGTACAGGCCAGAGGCACAGGAGGGTGAGAGGAGTCACCAGAGACAGGTGGGGAGCAGAACAGGTAGACAGACAGAAAGTACTGCTGAGGGGAGCAGCAGGCGCGACCGGAGATGTCTGCCGCACGGTGGGAATCTCCCTGGCCGGCCGGGAATCAAACCCGCACTGCAGAGACTGTGAACAGCTTCACAGAGCTGTGCTCAACTGCCTGCACCACCAGGGAGGCCCAAAGGGGGCTTTGTTTGTCAGCGCTTAAAGGATGGAAAGAACAGTGTAGCTCCAGCCACTGGGAGCCAGTCACCTCCCTGCCTGCCCCCCCCCATCCTGTGGGACTTTTACAGCCTGGGCATGGCTGCCCTAAACTGCTATGAATTGGGGTGAAATTAATACCCACTGAGGTAGGAACAGCTGCAGCTCTCTCTGTAGGGTTTCCGGCCTCGGTGGTTGTTGGGCAACCAACAGCACAGACACAGAGGCTGCTGGGCCAGAGGTGGCTTCCTGCGTGCCCCTCAACCTGCCAGCTGCCCTCTGGGTAGATGACAAATGCTGTAATGACAGAGAAGGGAGAGTGCTATGGCACAGAGGATCAGCCTGGATGTAACCACATCTCAAGGAAAATGCAGCAGGTCTCCCTGAACTGCTCAGGGAGCCCAGTCTCCATGACCCTAACCGGGAAATGGCAGCATCTGCTGAGGAGGAAATGACAGAGAAGAGAAGCAGGCAAAGGCACCAAGGGAAACAGCTGTGTCCACATTGAGGGGCTGCAGGAGGAAGGGAGGGGCTGAGCTGTGAAGGAAGAGTGATTCCTTTTACATAGAAATGGCTCCTGGCCCTCATTCACAGGTCAGGGGTCAGTGTCTGTAGAGGGGGAGGGGGCAGAGGGAGGGAGGACAGGCTAGGAGGGCCTTGCAGCTGAGTCTCAGTTCTCTGTGCTCAGGCAGAACAGGGCGATGCTGCCAAAATCCTGGTTGAGACTCAGCAACACTGGGACCTCAGGCCGTTCATAGGCCCCACAGTGCCTTGGTTCCTTCAATGCAACGTGAGGACAGTGTCATCTACTGCCTTGGGGAAAGCCAGATCCTCCAACACTTGCCACAGTGCCTGGTGCTGGCAGGGCTGTTCCCTAGTTTTGACCCTTCCCCCTCACTTCCTCCCCAGCCCATATGTTGGGTGTGGGGCTGAACAGGATGCTTGCTTGACCCTTTAGCAATCGTGGGCTGGTGGCTGCACAGCACAGGCTTCGTGCTACTCTCCTCCTTGCCAGGCCCTCCCACCTCCTCAGTCACCAGCCAACTCTGCTACCTGTGGAGGTGTGGAGTCAGCCCCCCCAAAAGGGTCACATAGATATTCCCAGTAGGCTCAGAGTAGGCCTCTTGTCGCCTCGGGATGGGAACTATAGTTCAATCACGGCCTGTGAGCCTCAGGAGGTTTACTGCCATTCTTTAAAGAAGGCAGGTGCTTCTTCAGGGAAGCAGTGAAGGCCCAGAAGCCTAGGAGAAGCTTCTGTTCTTGCTCAAGTTCACTGTCCCTCTCTAATGAAGAGGAGATCAGCATGTCTTAAGCTTCTGCCCTTTTCCTAGTGAAAGAAGCAATCACTCCCTCCCTTTCATGATCTAGAAAAAGTTTATGGGGCTCATTCCGTTCCAGGTTTATCAGCAACCCTGTCCTCTAAGAATCTCATCCTTTCTCAAAATACGCATGAGGTCACCCCTTCTTGTCAGTCATGTGAAGGCTCCCCTTCTCTGTCCATAATGCCCCAGAACCTAAAATGCAGGATAAACTTTCCTGTCTTCTCAGTTATTCTTTAGGGTTTACGACCTCGTGCATTTTCAATATATATGCCATGAAATTGATTGTTTTCTCTTTGCTGATCCACCCGATGCTGTTTTGACTGCCCCTCCAGCCTGAGAAGGGTTCAGGGCAGTAGGGGTGATTTCTCTTGCACTCCCACAGCAGTCATTGTCGTCATGTTACTTTCACTTATGCTCGTTTTGGATTCCAATTTTTTCGTGATTAAACCAAACAAATGTATGTCTTTGTGCATCAGCTTCTCCTGTGTGGTAGGTTCTTTGCCATAAATCCCAGAAGTGGAATTACCAAGGAAAAGGAGAAGTGTTTAAAGTTCCTGACACATTAAATGAACTACCAAAAAGCTTTTCATTCATTAAAAATATCTGCCTATAATATAGAGTGGGGACACCCTGTCCCACTTCCCTGCCATGTGTAGAAACACCTGTCCTCACCTGCAGGATGTCAGTCTTATTTGCATTAATTTACCTGTGAAAATAACTATTTTCCATGCCAAATTATCTTATTTGCTTTTTTCTTTATGCTTCATCAGTTCATATCCTTTGCTCATATAACAACCTGATGGAATATTACACATTGATTTGCAAGGGGGAGCTACCAGTGCAACACAGACTACTGTGTGGGAGGTGGAGTGTGGGGGCAGAGGGAAGTCTGTTGCAATCACCTCAGTCCCAAAGGAAAGTCTTTTTAGTTTTTAAATTATTGGGCCATGATACAGCTCAATTATGAAACAAAAAAAGAACAGTATATTTTGTTATTTGTCATATCTATTTACAAATGTTTCATGAAGATATAAAATTATAAATCCACGCACACAGCTAGTCCATTTTCCTATGTCAGAATTCCACATCTCCATAGAATGTGCATGACTTCATTTAATCTCCCAAATAATATCTCAAGTTAGGTATTATTCTGCCATTTCACAGGTGAGAAAACTAAAACTCAGAAAGATAAAATCACGTGTCCCAGGGTGCACATGATTTGTCTAAGATTTTACCGCCAACACAAGACTGAGCCAGAATTTGTGCCCCGGTGGGTCTGATTGCAGAGCTCATCCCTCTTCCTTCTATAGCAGGTTTTCAGGGCAAGGCAGGGGGCCTGGGTCACAGGGTGCAGTATCTACAGCACACAACCACCACTACAGCTTGGAAACAGTTGGTAACCGCACCTAAAGGTCACCAGCAGATGACAGGGGGGTCATACTTCCCTTGCCTCCCCCGCCTCACCTCTGCAGATGAGGCCATAATTCAGGGGGCTCAGATAATTTGGCAATGGGGGAAGGGGAGTTTTGTGGTCCCACACTCTCCTCCACATGCCCTCCCTGACCTGGGAGGAGTAGAAGGAAGTAGAGTTTGGGGGTAGGGAAGGGATGGAGAGAAGAGTGGCAGGCTGTGGAGTATGTTCCTCAAAAACAAACCAAAAGAAAAAAAAAAAAAAACCAGGAACCTGGAAAATGCTGTTATCACAGAGCAGGCAAATGACTGCTTTTTGAAGCAGAGGCTGGCTGTTGATTTTCCTGTTCTGAGAAACTTGCAGGCATCCCAAAAAGGCCCTCAGCCACTGTCCCTGGCCCATGGCCCTCACACACCACATGTCAGTACCAACCAAGCCCTGGCCGCCCACCTGTGGCCCTGGCACCTCAGCCTCCCCGAGTCCCACCCTGAGCAGCCCAGCTGTGCGCTACTCACAGAGAAGGAGCACCAGGGTCTGGGTGGGGAACCAGCTGCTGCTGCGTGAGGAGTCCATGACAGCGGCAGGAGCTAGTTTTGATGGTGGCTCCTCCTCTGCCCCGCCCCTCCATCCTGCTGCAAGCTCTGCTCTCCAGCCTCTGTGCACCCTGGAGTCTCTTGCCAGATGAAACTGAGGGTTTGTTTTTTTTTTTTTTTTTTTTTTAAATCAGGATTAGTTTCTTTCTTCTGAAAAGAACAATCCATGTTGATTATATAAGAGTTGGAAAACACAAAAAATTGTATAGGAGAACAAATATCATTTATTATTACACCTCACCAAGCTAACCACCATAAATATTTTTTTCTTTTCAACCAGCTTTATCCAGATATTATTGACATAAACCATGTAAATCTACGGTGTATGATTAATGATTCAACACACACATATTTGCAAAATGATCATCCAGTGAGGATAGCTGCCACCTCCATCCCCTCACAATCACCTTTTATTTCATGTGTTAGGGTAATATTTAAGATCTACTGTCTTATTTAAGATCTGTTCTGTTAGCAATTTTCGAATGTTTAACACATTACTGTCAACAAGTCCCCATGCTGTGCACTAGATGCCCAGCCCTTATCATCTCATAAGCTTGACCTCACTGACTAACACCCACATTCTCCCACCCAGGCCCGGTCAAGCACCATTCTACTCTCCATGTCTGAGCTCAGTTTTTTTAGAGTCAACGTGTAAGACTATTTTTCTGTCATTTTTGTTTTTTTCTGACTTATTTCATCTAGTCATCAGGTTCCTCCATCTTATCAAAAAGGCAAAATTTCCTTCTTTATGGCTAAATAAAATCGAATTCTAATGGATACAATTAAGTATATATCTCTATAAATATATAGAGACGTATATACTAAATAATTACTCATATATGGGCAACTTACAGTCTGCCCTCCATATTCACGGGTTCAGCATTTGTGGACTAAACCACCTTACATCTGTGGCTGCTGAATATATGGCAGGTAGGAAAAATATCAGCATAAAAGTGGACCCACAAAGTTCAAACTTGGGTTGTTCAATAGTCAATTGTATAACTTATATATACATATATATGTATATATACACATATATAATCTATAAATATGTATATATACACATATATAATCTATAAATGATATATAAATGTACAATATATATGAAAATTTCTTTATCTCCTCATCTGGTGATGAATGTGGGGGTACAGGTATCTACTCATGGTTATGATTTCATTTCCCATGGATGTATCTCCCGGAGTAGAATTGCTGATTTTATTTTTCATTTTTTGAGAACCTCGCTTATGCTTCCATAGTGTCTGCCCCATTTACATGCACACACTTACATGTGCACAAAAGCTCTCTCCAGAGCCTCTGGGACACATGTTGGCGCCTGTCATTTTGATAAGAGCCATTCTCACAGATGTGAGGGCATCTCATTGTGGTTTTGCTTTGCATCCTCTGAGGACTAGTGATGCTGAGTGCCTTTTCATGTACCTTTGACCATCTGTACGTCTTCTTTTAAAAATGTCTATTCAATTCCTTTGCCCATTTAATCAGTCATATGTAGAGTTGCTCTGGGTATGTTCTATGCATTTTCAAATGAAATAAAAAATGCATTTCATTTTTAAATGAAATGTTCTATGCATTTTTAAATGAAATAAAAAGATCACTGGTTAGGTAAAACAGTGATCTCCACAATGTGTTGTGTGGGATGATCCTTTGTGGTATAAGAAAATAGAAGAATGTCTACATTTCTGTTTATGATAAAAAGAAAATCCACTACTAGTATGTACGAGAAGTCCCCCAGCCCTTGGCTTGATCTGCTTTTTGGTCTGTTTCTCAGACAGTCATGTATGAGACAACCACCCAGGAGAATGTGTGAGGCCCAAGACCTGGGTCAGAACGTGTTCTCACTCACTTTGTCAGCTACAGATGCCTGTGGTCTTGGTGGGAGGGCAGGGTAGTGACAGTCAAGAAATTTCCCATATTGCCCAGGTTATCAGGCATAGGTCACCTTGTACACAAGCTTCTTAACCATAAATAAAATTGATATTTGACAAAGTTTCATATTTCCCATAGTTTCTTTGAAACACTACTCTTGCTGCTGCTTTTTCTTGTTACAGGAAATAAATGTCCTTTGTTCACTGCACCATGGCAATATCAGTGATTCAGCCCAAACACCCACCTAGAGGACAAACCCATGGAGCTCAGTATACACAGGGCAGGATATCACTGTGCTGACCAGAACAGTGGTATAAATAGATACCCTGACCTTTGTAGAGAAGACAACACCAATAAAACAGAGAAGAAGACAGCAGAGCTGATACTTCTCCCTCCTAGTGTGAACCTTCATAACACATTATGAGGCCAAACAGATGACCCAGTTAAGCTGCACAGAAATTCACCAAAAATTCAAAGTTGTACAGGTCACCGTGAAACGCTCTCTCCTGGCAGTGACTGAGTGTATCTCTAAGAGACACGGACATAGCTGTTAGCATTGCTGTGATACAGAGGAATAATGTGAACAGTCTAAATGTTCTTAGTTTCTAGGTGTCTGTAGCTGGAAATTTTGGATTCAAAAACTCAAACTTGTCAAAAAAGCTCAAGAACCATCTGAAATATGGGCTTTTCTCCACTGTTACTAATAACTCTTACTCTTCATGCATATTGAGCCTTCAGGTATTAGTTAATGTTGTGTGAAGCCATTATAAATTGTAAGATACTAAAATGTTGCTTATTTCATGGATATGGACACTTCACAGTTTTGGTTTGTTTTAAGTATTTATTTATTTATATAAGCGCTGGGTACATTCAGAAGCGCAGGAGGGTGAGAGAATTCACCAGAGCCAGAGCGGGGAACAGAACAGGCAGACTGACGAAGTACACTGCTGAGGGGAGCAGCGGGCACCGCAGGAAAGGTCTGCATGCCATGTGGGACCCTCGCCCAGTGGTGGGAGATCGAACCGGTGCCGCAGAAGCTGCGGGCAGCTTCGCAGCCCAGCGCTCAACCGCTGTGCCACCGGGGAGGCCCAACACTTCACAGTTTTATAGATTTTATTTTTGCATATGCTTTAAAAAGTACAATTCCTAAATTAATAAATATTTATGTGGTGGGAGTGCCTGCTTAAAATCTTTTCATTTGTTTTTCATATAATTTTTATAAACAACTGACATTTGCTATTTGCTTGCATTCTGTTTCTTCTAATGATTTTAAAAGTAAACATGCTATATTCAATTTTACTAGTTGTTTCCTGTAAAATTTAAAATACAGTTTGGACCTATTTTCAACTCTAATTATCAGTATTATGAATGGAAAGATATGTGTATATTTACTTTCCCATCAATGACAACTAAGCATGTTTTTCTCTCTACTACTTCTTAATTTTTGTTGATATAATTTAGGGTTTTATATCGTTTATCATTTTTAAATCGTGTTTACTTCATGTCTTCTTTTCCAGAAGTCTAAAAATATTTGCACTACAAGTTTGGTTCTCCAGCCGCTTGAGAGGAATGTGCTGAACTGGGTAAAGCTCAAGTCTCTGTGAGAATAAACCATTCAATGTCAGTATTTTCCTATACTGAAACTGGAATTGGACCTGGAAAGCATCAGGTAAACAAAGGACGTTGCATTAGTCCTTTGTTTTAGAGCAGTGTTAAAACCAACATCTGTTTCTGTTAGAGATACACTTGGTTGCTAGGAAGAGAGCTCTAACTGGTGACTGTTTTGCCCCTGTGGCCACAAAAAAATCTGTAGGGCAGCAGTGCAAAGCAGAAATAGTAACTCCATGATGCACCATCATCCTCAGCTCCTTGTATTTTTCTGTTCCTTAGTGTGTGTGTTTGTAAGCATGTAACTAAGGGGCACCCAGGGACCCCAAACTGTTAGGGGTGCACTTTCTAAGGGGGCAGTCACCCACATGAACCAAGGGAAAGAAAGCATACTCTTAGTGTGAAATATCTTTTATTGGTATAGAATTGGAGGAAAGACAGAGAGAGAATTTCAAATAACAGATTCGTAATAAAACTCCAAATATCACCTCTCCCCTTTCGTAGGCAAATGCCCAGCCAGACAGGCTCAGCCTGCAGTGAAAGACTGCGGCCCAAAACTTACCACAGGTCTAAGTTACTTTCTGGCAGGGAACCACAAGAAAGAGCCAGGCAGTTCCCTGAAAGCTAGGACAAACGGAAAAGAGGGAAAGTTAAAAATTTCTGCTAATATGTCAATTTTTAGTAAATCACACCACTACCACCAAATACATGTTTTGTGTTGGTCAATAGAAATTCTTGAGGGCAATTAGGGGCCCAAGTGAGTTTCCCACAGACATTTCCCCTTTTCCAGTCAATATTATGATTGGATCTACTCTTACAGGACTTATTACGATTGTGGATGATATTTAGCAATAACAATTATAAAACATTGAAAAATAGAGGTTTATTACTTAGAAGACCTGAAAATTAGGCAGCTCTTGGGCCACAGTGAGGTCCCTGGAAGGTGAGAGGGGATTGGGGGGCGGCTCTCGGGAGAAAGGCCCTGGCCTTGGGTCTTGCTTTTATAAAGGCTTAGGGTGGAAGAGAATTTAGGGTTTCTTGGACTTATTATTTATTGGTAAATTTAAATTATAAGAGCAGGGAGAGAAACAAAAATCAACCAGAATCTGTAAAGCAAAAGGTGGCCCAGTGTTGGGCAGCAGCCTGGCTCTTATCTGTCCTCTGGCAATTTGACTTATTCTTTGAAGTAGATGTCCCTTTCATATGGATGCCTATGCCAGCAAAGCCCAAGTTGGGTATTTGCATTACAAAAAGAAAAGTCAACTCTGGGAGCTAACAATACAATGTACTTGGGAACGGAGAGAGAAAGTAAGTAAGCAGCCGGCACTTTCACCATAACAACCTTGAACAAATTTCTTCGAGTATTGATAGATAGATAGATAGATAGATAGATAGATAGATAGATAGATAGATAGATAGATACATAGATACATAGATACATAGATAGATAGATATATTTCTGTTTAACTTATATTCCTAGAATTTCAAAATCAAGCACATTGTGCATTTATAATATTAAATTCTCTCAAATTGTTCCCCAGGAAAGCTGTGCATATGTACATGTTTATATTCCCACTGACATATTTACATTCCCACTGTATGAGAGTTCCTGTTTTTCCACAGCCTTACCAGTACTGGTCATTATTATCCTGATTGTCAACTAGAAATATGAAAAATAGCATCACTTCCATTTTTTATTTTCTTGGAATTTGAATGTCATTTTTTACAAGTTAGCTCATTGGTTTCAACTAATAATGAATTGTTCAAAGGAAAAGACTTCTCCCTTCTCTGCAATTGATGGCTTTCCTCACCCTGCTCTCAATTCCCAACATAGGGAGTGTTCAGATCCGTAGACTTATAAAATGTCGATTGAGCCAATACAGACAGGATATGTGTCATAGCATCTGAGGGGGAAATTGAGTAAAATTCAAATGAGGAAGAATATATTGCTAATCAGAGTCATGAGGGCTGGGTGAGAGAGAGACAGAGAAATGATTGTGTAGGATGTTCTGGAAAGTTGTTGATTCAAGTCCCATACAAGGCTTATAATGAGGGGCTCTGTGTGGGGTTGCTCCATGGGGGGAGGGGTGGCTATGCTTGAGAAGAGAAAGAATGTCAGCAAGACTTGGTTGATTCATGGTGTTATAGACTTATCTAGTCTGAACAGGGAGCCAACATCTGAACTTTAAATGAAGAGTATTTGTGGACACTGTTACTGATGGAAGTTTAGAGAAAAAAATTTTAGGATGGATGTTTTCACAAGGTCAAAATTCTGAGGCGAGGATAGGGATGATTAACAAGTCTTTACATGGCTATGCAAGTTTCCAGAGTTTTCAGAGGTGGGGACAGAGAGGATTATTATTTACTCAAAACCAACCAACCTTACCCCAAGGCATAAATTTCACAGAAATTTCATCAAAGAACACTATAGAAGGCTGTATCTTGCTCTGACAAAATACAGAGCTTGTTCTAGGACTGCTTGCCTGTGTCTTTGCAGAGTCTCTTTCTTTTCTCTTTTCTCTTTTCTCTTTTCTCTTGATAAACTTGCCATCAGCTGCTGAATGGGAAAGTCTGCTGAATTCATTCTCCAAGGAACCCAAGAACCTCACTCACGGAACCCCAACATCATGACAATGCTTCTTACAGATTTGCTCTGAGGCCTCTTTTGTTGCTGGTGGTGGGAGCTCATCATCCCTACACAGGTCACTAAAAGAATTTTACCTTAGTGGCTCTACATACCTGCACTACCTGCAGATCCCTAACTCTAAAACAGTGTCTCTCCACACCCAGTCATTTGGTATATTTGACAGTTATTTCTGCTATAATTTCTTCCCCCTCAAATAGCTTCACCAAGAGCAATAATTTGGAGGCCTCTTAGTAAAGTCTCAGGCTCTTCCATAAGAAGATTCTCCTGCAATGCCATGGTCTAGAAAGCATTGTCACCTCTGGTGTCTTACTTAGTAGATCTCTTTAATCTCAGCATGAGGGTGGTTGGTGTGTGTTCAGAAGCCTAACCTGTAAATCTCTCTGATTTTCAGTGTTTCAAATGGATAATAAAGTAGGGTCTTACATAATTATTAAGGGTCAATTCACCAAGAGATAGTAATTCTAGATATGTATGTTCTTAGTAACCAGCTCCAAAATACATGAAGCCAAAGCTGACAGAACTGAAGGGGAAAATAGACAAATCCACTGTTATAGTCAGTCCCTATTACACTCCTTTCCCAGCAGTAAAACTAGTTAATAGAAATGACAAGAATAGAGAAGAAATGACATGACAATGAACAACTTGATGACCTAGTTGATATTTTCACTGGACAAGGCAGGGGACCCAGCCCTTAGGGAGGCCCCCTCAGGTCCACCAGTTTCTCCCTCTGATAATGTAGACAGGTGACCCAGGAAGAAATGGCATTGCAGTTGCATAACCAGAATGGTTCTTGCCTACTCCTTGCCCACTAGCAAGGTTGAATTTCTAGAACCCTGTGAGGAATAAGTTTCCCTGGTTCCTTCTGATCGCTGGGAATCTAACTGCTCCAGGTGGGGCTTGCAGGATAAACTGGGAGGTTTGAAAGGAAAAACATATGAAATGCAGTTTTGTCTTGTTTGAATTAACTTGGGCAAATAGCAAGATGCTTTGTTTATATGATGTTAATGATGAAATAGAACAAGGAAGGAAAGACAATATATCATATAAGAAGAAATAAACTAACAATATTTTTTTATGCCCAGGTGAGCAAGGTGAAACTACAACAACCTTTCCCATGAACAGCACACTGGGAATAGTCACTTCTGCTTTCATTTCCTGACATGAAGAAACCACTCTCTTTCTTACCAAGTGCATATAATACAAAAAGGGAACCTGACATGATAACAGGGCTGTAGAGGACAGAAAAGGAGTGTCCACTGCTCTGGGGCTGAGGGGGGTGAGATGGGGTGACCTGTGCCAGCCCATTCACAATATGGGAGAAAGGTAAAGGTGCTACTAAAAAGTATGATAATAAAGGAATGCTTCTGCAATTTCCTTGCCAATAAGTGCTAGAAAGCTAAGGTTTCACTACTTCTTCCCTCATAATATATGAAAGTAAAATTGATACAGGGAAGCAAGGGGCACTAAAACTGCCCAAGGACAATGCCCAAATAGTTTACCAGTCACTGTCTGAGATCTTCACCTGCACACAATTGCAAGACTACTCAGGTTCAGGGAACAACAACAATGAGATTTATTTAACAAACCAGGGAAAAACACGGAGTTGCTAGGGCCAAAAATGGCAGTTTACCCCACCCGAAGCAGCATTCAGTGTTTTAAACTCCTAAACAAAAGCAGCTAAGATGGTGTCTTCCCAGCATTGAGGACACGGAGCTCCTCTCCGGAACAATAGGCCACGTATCCAAGATGGCATCTTCCTGCCTCTGCTTACCAGGAGCATGCAGCAGGCAAACTCTAAGCCAGGTTCCAACTCACAAAGACAACAGAACACACAACAGGAGATGCTCCCAGAACTGCTGGGATGTCCCAGCACAGCACCAGACAAGTGACACTCAAGACAGCAGTTGCAATGGCTGAACAAACCAACAAATGGTCACACTCACATAGCTCAGTGAGGCACAAAGCTCAGTGAGATGCCTAGCTTCAGGTTTTAGTCTTCTCTGCTAGGCTGTAACAACAACAAAACTGGGAACAGTTTTACTTGCTTGGCTCCTTGCAAAGCCCCCAAACTTTTCCTCTCTGAGGCTGGCTGCTGGAGGCCTCTCCACGTTCAGAGGCCCATAACAGCCTTCTGGAAGATTGGTGTGATAGAAGCCAGAATCTGCTGACCCCAAATGCTAAAGATCCAAAAACTGCTGAATTCCCAAGACTGAATGACTCACTCCCCCTTCTGCAGTCACTTATATTTCTTATCAGTTGCCCCATCCCAAAAATGCGATACATTTTAGCATTTTCCCTGGGACTATCTATCCTCACCAGCAACCCCCGCCCAGAGGGGGAACCACCTCTATCAATCTATGGGTTAAGCCACTAGTTACAAAATCATTGCACGTGAGATTTTAAGCATCAGACCTGACATAGTGTAGGGTAAGTGAATTGATCAGGCTTTTACACCGCTGGCCTCTAGCTAACCTGTGGCCTAGAATGCAGAGAGTGCTTGGAAACAGGGTGTGGGGAATGCATGCTTAACTATGAACTCCTGGAGTATGGTGTGGGCATGTGTAAGGTGCACACCTGTGCTAGAGGCTGAGGATATAAGGGACATGTCACTCAAACAGAGGACAGTTACAGCAGAGGGGCTGCAAGAGGACAAGTGATGGCTGCAAGAGGCAGGTTCATGAGATGCCAGCAGGGAGATAACAAAGAGAAAGAGTAGATTTACCCAGGGCTGCGAGGCTTACCAGCCTCTTGGCTCCCTGACCTCCCTTCCTTGCCAGTCTGTGGGTTTGCCGCACAACAATTGACATAGAAAGAAAATTAAATCCTGGAATAACCACTGAGGGCACTGGACTATCGTTTGTCTGTCTGCCCAAATCAATAGAGAACCTGCCTGTGCTTGCTGGCACAACACATAGTGTTGGCGCTTGGTCAACCCTTAGAGGTAGAGGGGGTCAGTCAGGAGAGTGGAAGGAGTCAAGGAAACACCCCAGGTTTCTGGAGTGAGCCACGGACTGAGAGTGGGAACCAGAAATAGGCTGGAAGTGGAAGACGGTGAGCTAAGCGTTGGGTGTGGTGTGTGGCCCCGTGGAGATGAGAGCACGGTGTGGGACGCAGGGTCTGACTCACTTACAGCAGAGCATGTGGGGCAGGGATACAGGCCTGGGCACTAACAGCATGAACGGTCACTGGAGCCCCCAGAGCAGATTTTCAAGTGAGAGAATAAAAATGAGATGAAAAGGGAGTTATGACAAAACCCTTGTGTAGTGGCAGGAGGCACAGTACAGGTTCTCTATGATCGGGCAGATGGATGAAGGAGGTGTCCCGGAGCCCTTGGTGTCTTTTGCAGGCTTTTATTGGGATTAATGTGGTACACGGCAGGTAGGGGTGCCAGGGGGCCGGGAGGCTGGGAGGCCTCCCAGCCCCCAGTGAATCTTCACTCTTTACTGGGCTCTCTCACGTGTTCTCTCGTGGCCTCTGTGTAAGGGCAGGACAGGACCCAGTGCAGGTTCTCTGATCCCATGCAGACCGGGTAAAGGAGGAGTCAGAGTCCTCAGTGGTTTTGCAGGTTTTTATTGGGGTTCAGCGGGTACGTGGCAGGCAGGGAGGCTGGCAGTCCTCCCAGCCCCCAGCAAATCTTCACTCTATCTCTGGGCTCCCTGGCGTTCTCTGCTTCTGCTTTGCTTCTCTCTCGGCTTCTCTTTCGACTTCTGCTGCTGCTGCTTTCTCAGCTTCTGGCATCCCTGTGACACCGCCCCTAAAAGCACAGCCTTAGCGCAGGTGTACCCACTTCAGGTGCCCGCCATCAGGCATGCATTCAGGATCACAGGGTTCCCTCATCTATCCTGATGGCGGGAGGGCAGAAAAGCCTGATACCTTTTACCTTAGCCTACACTCTGCTTCTCTGCTGGTTCCATTCTCTTGCTTGTTCTCCTTCTGGTTATTGTGTTCTCTGGTGTCCCTGTGACGCTGCTTTTATGAGCTCAGTCTCAGCCCAGGTGAATCTCACCTACGTATACCCACACCCTACTCCAGATACCCGCCATCGGGCATGCATTCAGGACCGCAGGGATCCATCATCTATCCTAATGGTGGGAGGGCAGAAAAGCCAATCCACCCGCTCAGGGTTTTCTGCCATATAGTCTATAACAGAATACACCTGCATACAAAATATAACAAAATACAACTAAACCCAGGCAGGGCACCAACCTACGGGCAAAAGGCAAGATGTAGGGTAAGGAAAAATGTCAGGCTTTTCTGCCCTCCCGCCATCAAGATAGATGAGGGAACCCTGTGATCCAGAATGCATGCCTGATGGTGGGCACCTGAAGTGGGTACACCTGCGCTAAGACTGTGCTTATAAGGGCGACGCCATGGGGACGCCAGCAGAAGCCAAGAAGCCAAGAATGAACAGAAGCCGGGAGAAAAGCAGGGAAGGCCGGAGAGCCCACATAGAGTGAAGACTTGCTGAGGGCTGGGAGACCTGCCAGCCTCCTGGCCCCCCAGCACCCCTGCCTGCTATGTACCGGGTAAATCCCAATAAAAGCCTGTAAAAACCACTGAGGACTCTGACTCCTCCTTTACCTGGTCTGCATGGGATCAGAAAACCTGCACTGTGTCCAGTCCTGTCCTCTATACAAGATTATTGACACCAGCAGATGATCCACCATGTCTTCTGCAGAAGACATTGCTTATGTGAGGGAGGGGAACCACTCAGGCATCTGCTGTCACACACCAGGAGCCGTCAGGCTTCCTGGCCTTCTCTGGGTGTAGTCTCGGCCACAAGCCACACACCACATCCACCCCCAGGATGCACTCTCTCTGGGATTGGCAATTCTGTCCTTTGGGGGTAACTGCCAACCCTCAGCGTTTCTGTCTACGGTTGCTCCAACACTCGGCTTTCATAGCCACCAATGTGACACACAGAGCCCTACACGCAGGCCAATCCACTGCACAAGCACATGGGACAGGGATCCGTGGATACGAGCTCCACATGTGGCCTCTCTTGGGTCCCCTCTTCGGCTGTGACTTCACCACAAGCCATGTTCCCCACCTGCCCCTCAAGGATGGGTTCCTCAGCTCCTCACCCTCTCACCCTCACTCAACAATGAACAGGGCATCACCCACAGGTGATTTTAAGAGACTCACTGGCCTTCTTTAGCATATTTAAGCTGCTTAACAGCTGCTCAGGGCTTCACAATCTCAACACCAGCTTTTACCACTCTTTACTCTCCTGTGTTCTCTTGTGGCCTCTGCTTCTCTGCTGGTTCCGTTCTCTTGCTTGTTCTTCTCGTTGTTCTGTTTTCTTCCTGCTACTCTTCTCTCCTGTTCTCTCCTTATGAGCCCAGTCTCTCAGCCCAGGTGTACCCACCTACATATGCCTACACCCTACTCCAGGTGCCCACTATCAGGCATGTATTCAGGACCACAGGGATCCATCATCAATCCTAATGGTGGGAGGGCAGAAAAGCCTGACAATCATTTACCCTACAGCTTGAAAGCACCCACATCTGAGAGAAGGGAAGGGACAGAAGAGGAGGAGCAGCAAAGGATCTTGAAGAGGATGGCAGGGGGAATGATGCATGAGGGTGTGCAACCAGGGAAACAGAGGAAAGAGATGCTTCCAGAGGGGGAGTGGTCAGCACGGTACACTGCTGGTGACCTGATGATTCCTCAGGATGCTGGAGCAGGAGGCCCAGGGGCGAGTGTCCTGGGGTCAGGTAGAGTGTACCTGTGACATGAAAAGGGGAGACACGGGACCACAGCTGGAGGACTGAGTCTAGGGAGGTGTCAGGGAGAGCACTGAGAACATTTAAGGGCGCAGGAAAGGAGTGAGGATCAGGGGCACATATCAGAGAAAAAAGTTAGACAGCAAGATTTCAGTGTGTGAAAGTAACTTCAGAGACTAGGAACCCAGTGTCATTTGTGGGAGCAGAAGAAGTTAGGACAGATGTAAGGGGGTTTGTTAAAAGTTAAGTGATAGAAACTTGAAACCTTTACTTTATGACTGTAATAGCAGGAAGGGCACAGTGCTGGTTTTCTATGATTCCAGCAGACCGGGTAAAGGAGGAGTGAGTCCTGGAACCCTCAATGGCTTTTTCAGGCTTTTATTG